ATGAATTTCAATTTAATTAATTAAAGTTTTGTGATTCTACAACTTCCCTTTGTGTTCTTTTATCCATATTAAAGTTTGTAACGATTTTTCCCTCGCTTCCTTGTGGATACGACCCATTCTCACCACTTATTGTGTTTGTAATTGTTATGAAAAACGGAGAAACATACAAATATTAAAACTAGTGTTCTGAAGTGGTTAACGGCATGCTTCCGGACACACCAATGTACATGTCCAAGTAAGATGCACTGTTACAAAAAAATAAAAGCAAAGTTCAAAAAATCAACATGTATCGGCCAATACGCCCCTACAGAGGGTGTATCGGAGTTCTGATTGGTTAAGAGGGTGGTGGAACCTTAAACTGGCTCCCTGAACCAGTTTTGAAAAAAATAAAAAAAGTGAAAAATAGTACCGATACTGCCCGATACGCCCTTACCGATGTATCGGGCATATCAATATTTAGAACCTTGTCTAGAAGTATTGTGTGAAAGTTGTGCCTTAAAAGCACTTTTTGGAAGTATTTTGTGAAAACTATGCCTTGAAAATGCTTTCTGGAAGTAGTTTGTGAAAATTGCTCCTTAAAAACAACTTATGTAAGTATTTTGTGAAAATTGTGCCTTAAAAACACTTTCTGGAAGTATTTTCTGAAAACTGTGCCTTGAAAATGCATTCTGGAAGTAGTTTGTGAAAACTGCTCCTTAAAAGCACCTTCTGGAAGTATTTTGTGAAAACTATGCCTTAAAAGCACTTTTTGGAAGTATTTTGTGAAAACTACGCCTTGAAAATGCTTTCTGGAAGTAGTTTGTGAAAACTGCTCCTTAAAAGCACTTTCTAGAAGTATTTTGTGAAAACTGTGCCTTAAAAGTACTTTTTGGAAGTATTTTGTGAAAAATGTGCCTTAAAAGCACTTCCTAGAAGTATTTTGTGAAAACTATGCCTTGAAAGTGCTTTCTGAAAGTAACTTGTGAAAACTGGTCCTTAAAAGAATCTTCTGGATGTATTTTGTGAAAATTGCACCTTAAAATCACTTTTTGGAAGTATTTTGTGAAAAGTGTACCTTGAAAGTATTTTCTAGAAGTAGTTTGTAAAAACTACTCCTTAAAAACACTTTCTGGAAGTACTTTATGAAAATTGATCCTTCAAAGTGCTTTTTGGTAGTATTTATTATTTTTTATTATTGTTAATAATAATATTATTATTATCCATGTGAAACTCCATGTGTGGCCCTACGTGGGCTTTCATGTGTCATGATGTGGTGATGTGACAATTTTTCATTGAAATGTATATTATAATTATATAGAAAGCATTGTTTATATGTATAAGTGAAGTGAGGGTTAAAAGTGTCATTTATGCCAACATCTTGTAGTTAGCGAGAAAATAACTCACCAAACATCCACACCCAATAAGTGCTTAAAAAACACAATAAGTGATTTGGCAAGTGGGTCACCAAACAACCTTAAGTGGTTTTTAAAAGAAGCACTTTTAAAAAGTACTTATGCAATAAGTACTTCTTTCAACAACCTCTTATTCACTAAACATAGCCATAATCATTCATTAATGAACAAGCTAGTATTCAGTACAATAGATTCAAACTTCTTTTTGCCACCCTCAAATGGATAATTGGACATTAGGCTTAGGCCATGTTTGGGAGTGCTTAAAAATAAGTGTTTACTTGGGACATTAAGCACTTATTGGTATTTTAGAAATAAGCCCGAAATAAGTGCTTATTTTAAAAATAATGGCTTATTTAAGCCCATATTTCTAGCTTTTTTTAAGTGCTTATACAATAAGCACTTATTCAATTTTTTCTTCCAAAATTATCTCTAGTTGAATTTTAAAATACAACTTATAAAATTATCCCTAGTTGAATTTTATAAAAGTACTTTTATGAAACTGCTTTTATAAAAGCATTTTACGAAAGCACTTTTAAGAAAGTACTTTTTATGAAAGTATTTTTGCAAAAGCACTTCTATAAAAGTACTTTTATGAAAGCACTTTTAGGAAACCACTTTACGAATGTACTTTTATGAAAGTACTTTTATAAAAGTACTTTTACAAAAGCACTTTTACGAAAATACTTTTATGAAAGCACTTTTACAAAAGTACTTTTATATTTTATAAAGTGTTTTCATAAAAGTACTTTCGTAAAAGTGCTTTCATAAAAGTACTTTCGTAAAAGTGCTTTCATAAAAGTACTTTCTTAAAAGTCCTTTCAAAGGGTTATTTTGAAAATTTGAAAGAAAATGAAAGACAAAATAGTCACAAATGCTTATTTAAGTGCTTATTAGAAAAAAAAAAGACTAGCAAACGCCCAATATAAAATAAGTGCTTATTTTAAAAAATAAGCAATTGAAAAAGTTAGGTGTCAAATGCAAATAAGTGCTTATTTGAATAAGCACTTATTTTTAAGCATGTATTTAATAAACACTTATTTTTAACTTAAGCACTCCCAAACATGGCCTTAGTTTGGAAGGAATACAAATACATAGAAAATACATGGTATTGCATTCTACATATTTGTATTTGTATTCCTTCCAAATTGAGCCTTGGGCTGTGTTTGGTTGGAGTGCAATTTTATTTGTATTAATACAAATGCATGGAAATATAAATATAAAAAATGTAAATTCTTGTTTAATTTTGTTTTGGATTTTACTTTATTCTACTTCATTTATACTGCAATCAAACAAAATAAGCTAAAATTTAAAACAAAAATATGTCAGAATTTACACTCAAATCATTTGCACTGTCATGGTTTTGCATCAGTGCAAATTTATTTGCATTACAACCAAACACAGCCTTGTGAATGCTATTATCATATTATAGAATGATTACCGAAAAGAAAAGATTAAAAGTGAAAGTGCTGAATTGGAAATGAAAATTATGTGTTGATACATGAACCAAGTGATGAGTGTCGAGCGGGTTCTAATACCAAGATAATGGCCAGTGCTCAAGCTAAACTCTACACAACTTGAACCTGGGTCAGATAAATTGAGCGGCCTTAGTCGTTTTTGGCTGATATTTCTCCAGTTTTTTATTTTTCATTTGGTTTATTTAGAACCATTTAAAATACAAAATAGAACAAAACCCATTGAAGTATTACTATATACTTATTTATGCATGTCATACCACTCAGACATGGTGTATGTGTCCATGCATACATATGGGCTTGAGCCAAAACATCATCATATATAATTATACAATGTAGAATGTAAACATGTTGTAATATACTATTGAAATGTATGATACCGGAAGAGTTTTGGTGAATCTTGATAAATCCCAACTGATTGGTTTCGACTTTTATGATACCGGTTGATTGTTTTATATAAATTTTTTAGATATCATGCCTGTGCCTTTCAGGTATCTTAGTCATTAATATTATTAATTTTTCATAAAAAGTTTCTATAAAATTGAAAGAAAAAAGTTGTAGTAGATGCATGCCATTAGAAACTATCAAGTGGAACTTAAATGCAGAAGAAGCCCCTATTTATAAGACTGGATTTGCGAATACGCTGAGAGCACGACATTCAGCCGCACTGTTTTCAAAACCGGACCGGACCGGAAAAATCAGGAATCGGTTATCTGATTGGTTCCGTTTTTCTTCAAAATCGTTTTTTCCCTTAAAATTGTTGATTTAGTCTGTAAACCGCTGAACCGGCTGATTAACCGTTCGAACGGTTTTGACCGTTTTCCAATTTCTTAAATTTTTTTTTTTTTTTGTTAAAACAGGCCAGTCATTCAGGTTGAACGGTCAAACTGTTCGAACCGATAATCAGACCCCTGACCGGTTCGTTTTTAAAAACCATGTTCAGCCGCATATCGGAAATATCTCGCGGATGTGTGTCTAACTGGCTGCCCTGCTATCAGTGTTTACGGTTTTTTATTATTTTGACCAACGGTACTGTGCTTGTTAGGTACCCAATAAACGAAGGTGTGGTTCAAAACGGATACACAGGCTTTCCAAATTGTGCTAGTAGGCCCAGTGTGCATCACTTTTTGAACTCAAAACATCATTTTTTGAACTGATTTTTAATTTTCATCACTAACATACCCACCTTTCATTTGGAATTGGAGACAAAATCACTGGGCAATCTATCACAGCTCACAAGAGAACATACACGTGAGGCCTATGTGGAATCCACACCATAATATTCACGCATTATAGATTGCCCAGCCCCATATAGTATCGCTTCTTCCAAATTAAACCTTGCTCAAAAGTGAGTAATCGGTTATGATACAGATCTGGTGAATTTCGATAAATTAGCATAAAGCCTTTATGAGATCCGGACTAACGTTAATTGATTATCAACTGAGGAAAAAAAATGTTAGAGGGAGATTCAAAATTTCAAGAATCTTTTTTTTATTTTTTTATTTTTTTATTTTTGTTCTTTTTTCCTTTGAATGCATGAAAAGATTCCTTGTCTACCATTGTTTGGGAAAGGAATTGGGTTTGAGTATATCTATAGACTTGCTCTCTCTATGAGTAGGGACTCATAAGAGGAAAACACTATAGATATTCATATGCATGAGAGGGGGTTGGGGATGCTTTTCACACGTGTGCCGAGCTGGGTCGAGACATGGGTGTGAACGTATATGCACATGCTACACCGAATCTTTTTGGCTTTGACCGGTTTGAATAGTTAGACTTTTGAAAACTTAAAGTTTATTTTTTAAACGTTTTCTTCTATATTTCTGTCTATTTGGGTGACTAAGAGCTCTCTATAAAAAGAGTATTGGTTAACTCAAAAAACACACCAGTGCACTCATCACAGTATTTTTCTTTTTTATTAATCGTTCTTCTATGAGCATCATTATTTGTGGTTCACGGAGATCTAATAAGCAAGTGCACGCCTACTAGTGGCTTGTGGGCTATTTTATCTTGGTGACCGATTTGCATTCACCCAGCTATACCGCAAGAGGCAAATACAATTTTAAAGAAAATAACCAAGTGATACGACTCAACCCTCTCTGCAATTTCTCATATTCACAGTTCTATAACACTACAATTCTGCAATTTCTCGGTTTGAAAAGTGATTACCGATAAGTTTCATTCTCCCTTATTATTTTTCCAACAAAAAATAACTACAATGAAATTATGTACAACTGACAATACAAAGATCACTTCAATGATGATATGCCCTGTTCGTTTCTCTTGCTCTAGTGCAGGTGTTAGTAGCTCAACGTTATCAATTAATGTCCCTTCTCCAAAACACCAACTAAGGATTACCCAAATAACAAATTTCTAATAAATGCAATCTTCCAAAAAAAAAAAAAAAGAAGAAAACGCATTAGACGACCTTAACCACCAAAAACACATTTGCAAGCCTAAATTCAAATTCAAGCATCTCATGCCCACGCTTCCCCGCCTCCCCTGCTATTTACAACGCCAAGGCCTCCAGACTTTTTAACTGGCTTACTCAATTGAAACACAGGATGCCTGTAAAGCTTCTTCACTCCCTTTCTCAAATTCAGCTTGTCCAAGAACCGTTCTGCATCCCCACCGTTGCACTGCTTATTGCACTCATTCTCCACAGATCCAGGGTCACATTTAACGGGTGTGCTATTCCCAGAAATTGAATTCCGCTCTTCACCAACCCCACTCTTCTTACGAAAGCTCCAAAAACTCTCTCCAGTGTCGCTTTCAAGAAGTTCGTCCTCAGACGAGATTCTTAGTAGGTTGCCAAAGACAGCACTTCTATCGGAGTCACACACATCGGTTGTTTGGTTACAGGGTCTTGTTTCAGTTTCCTTATTCATCTTTGGTGAAGGGGGTCCACTCTTGTTGCCTGGAGAATCTGAGCACGAAGAAAAATACCTGGCTTCGGCAGCTGATTCTTCTCTGTCTCTAAGGGTTTTTATGATCAGCGTCTTCAGAAGGTTCATAACTTGCACCGCATGGATAAGTGCAGTTAAGGGATCTGCCATCTGCAGAAAGGAAAACAATTAGTTATCATATATTTACAAGGAGCAACATTTATTAAACACTTCCTTTAATTATTGCCCCAAAATTTTCCCATAGATGCAGGGTGTTAAAAATCTACATTCAATAGTACAATCCAGGCATCCCCTGGGTCAAAAGTCGACTACATTTATTTTATTCTCCAGTTATCCAAACAAAAAATCAGATTGCATAGTCAGATGAAAAAGCCATAAAAGCCATCATCCAATTCTGGTCCCAAGTCCTGACAATCCAGGGCATCTGGGAGAGGTGGACTAGATAAGGACTCTCACTCATGAAGCCACATATTCAAGTTTGTCAACCCAAGAACTCACTATTGCACCATGATTGGATAATAAAAATCCATCACATTATATCAACTTCCATATTTCACTGGATAAAAAGTTCAAGACCTGAGGTCAAAGATAAAAAATGTTCTACTACATTTTATTCCAAGATTCAAAATTTGGGGAATCTCTAACCATAACAAGGCGATTTAGCACAGACACCTGCACACGCACACCATACAAAGGTTAAAGATGTTCAATAACCTGAGTCATATTGGGTGCAAAAACCATTGCAATGTTGCGAGCATTCATCTTGTTGTAATGTTCATGCTGTACGACATCTGACATCAGATTGATGGCCCAGTCAAGCAATGCAGCCTCTGTTGGTGGCAGTAATCTTACAAGTTCAGTGCATTCTTCTTCTGTGTTGCAGTGCATCACCTGTTCTGCGGTAAGGGAGTCTAGCACCCCTCTTGGAAGTTCTCTAAACCATGCCTACAGAGCAGCAATTGATCTTAATAATCAAGCTACACATGATTCAAAGTGCAGAATGGAAGCCAAGTAGAACTCATTGGGATCAAGAGGACATATTCTCTGGGAAGAGGAATACACACACACACACACAAGTTATATGGTGTTATCTATCCATTGTGACCGAAGTCTTGTAAATCCAACACGCCTTGAGGGTGTTATGGTCATTTTAGTGATATAATGCAAGTTGGTGATGGGATTTTGGTCTATCTATTGCTTTGGATCATTCTTGCAATTTCTTTTGGTTTGCTTAGTTGCAGTAGCATTAGTAAAGTGTTGTTATTTAGAAGCTAGAGTGTTATTTGAGTGTCAGGTTTGCCTTAGAGTAGTGCAATTTGTTTTGGGTCAGTTTCCTAGTTGAAATTGGAGTCTGTAAGGGAAGATCCCAGCCCTTGTGATTTGTCTATGGATAGAGTCATTGTAATTGAATTTAAAGAGTTGAATTAATGGAAAAAAAAATTCTGAAGTTTCATGTGGGTAAGAGTGCCATCTCCTTCTTTCTCTCCCTTTCTTCTAAAGGTTTGATCTTTCTTCTCTTACTTGTCAAACAAAATTTTTCTTCTCTATTTCAGATCTGAATTTTTTCCTATCATAATTCAGATCTTTATTCAACTTCCTACCACATTCTCCTTTTTGTCCTATGTCATGCCATTTATTTATTTTTTGAAAATAAAAGAAAAAAATTATTAAAAATGAAAAAAGTGATTAAAAGGTGTAACAGCCAGAACACCAAAAAAAGAATATACACTCGTATCAGATGGCCCACAGCCCAATAAGCCCCAGCTGAAATCAAGATACTGCCCAACTAAACCAGAAAACATTAAATCTTTCCCCTGAGAAGATCCACCCAACTCTAAAAAATAGATCTAGAACCGATCCAAAAGACCACCACACTTCACCCCAAGATGGACCAGAACAACCAAAACGCAGACCCCTATGAAGCGGAATTCTTACCTCTTCCAATACCCTGCCCACTCTTTGCTCCTCTAAGACCTGCTTAGACCACCTTGTCCACATAGAGATCCACCAATTTTCTTAACTTCCAAGATGGACCAGAACAACCAAGACATAGGAGGCTGTAGTGAGAATGGGCCTTAGTGTTCTTTATTTCTTTTAAGTAGTGTTTAAAGCTATGTTTGTTAGTTATGGGCCTTCTTTTGTTTTCTTTAATTATTTCTTTAGTGTTGGCCGCCCCATTAAGGGCATCCAATGCTAAGGAATATTTTGATAAGGACCTTACCTCCCATCTTGAGAAGTTTGGGGTTGTTCATCAAAGCTCTTGTGCCCACACTCCACAACAAAATGTAGTGGAGAGGAAAAACAAACACGTTGTGGAAATTGCAAGGAGCATTCTTTTTGCTACCCATGTTCTTGTGAAGTTTTGGGGTGATGCAGTTTTAACAGCTACCTACCTTATTAACCGCATGCCTTCTTGAGTATTGGGGTTAAAATCTCCTTTTGGAGTCCTCTTTCCTGGTGTTGAGATTTTCTCTATTCATTTACAAGTCTTTGGCTGCACTTGTTATGTCTACATTCCCAGTTTCAAAAGACACAAGTTTGACCCCAAGGCTCAGAAGTGTATCTTCCTTGGCTATGCCTCTACACAGAAAGGGTATTGTTGTTTTGATCCCATTAGTGGGATACGGTTTGTTTCCATGGATGTCACCTTTGCAGAGTCGGTTCCTTTTTATAGCCATCCTTCTGAGGGGGAGAGATCTCTCGAGTTGTTTTCTTCATCCCTTCATTTGTCAATTCTAGTTGAGTCTTGTGTCGAGCCCTCCACAGTTACCCCCATTCCCGTGGAGGGATCCTCTCCTTTGAGGTCTTCCACTCCTACTCCTCCCCCTCCTCCTGCTAGTTCTCCAGTTGTTTCCGCTCATCCTATTCTCCAGAGGTGGTACCAATGCCAAAGGCTAAGGCAAACATAGGTTGATCCCACACCTCCGGTTGAGTCTTAGGTCCTTCCAATTACTGAAGAGAGGACATGTCCATCACCTCCTCCACTAGCACCCTCGTTTCCAAAACTTAACCTACCCATTGCTTTGAGAAAAGGTAAGAGGAAATGTACAAATCATTGTATTTCCAAACACCTTTCCTACAACTTGTTTTCCCCATCCTACTATGCCTTTCTAGCCTCTATTTCCTCTCAACCCATCCCAATGTCTGTTTCAGAAGCCTTAGCCACACCAAAATGGAGGGATGCTATGAGTATTGAAATAGAAGCCCTTCATAAAAACAATACCTAAGATATTGTTGACTTGCCAACTGGGAAGGAACCTGTTGGGTGCAAGTGGGTTTTCACTATCAARTATCGTGTAGATGGGTTAATTGAGAGGTATAAGGCTCGTCTTGTTGCTAACGGATATACCCCAGGTATATGGGATAGATTATACTGAGACCTTTTCTCCAGTTGCTAAGATGACTCCATTGAGAGTTCTTTTATCCTTAGCAATGAGCTATAATTGGCCTCTGTATCAGTTTGATGTTAAGAATGCATTCCTAAATGGTAATCTCACTGAAGAGGTATATATGTCCCTTCTTCATGGTATATATGGCAAGGAAATACAAGGTAAGGTGTGTAGATTGAAGAAATCACTTTATGGCCTAAAACAATCTCCACATGCTTGGTTTGACAAGTTTAGGGCTATTCTTGTTCAGTTTGGCTACACTCAGACTCAATCAAATCATACCCTCTTTCTTAAGAGAAAAGGCACTCTAGTGACATTCCTTATTGTTTATGTAGATGATATTGTGGTTATTGGCAGTGATACAAAAGAAGTTAATTCTCTCAAGAAGTTTCTCAGTTCTGAATTTGAAATTAAAGATTTAGGGGAGTTGCGGTATTTTCTTGGCATTGAGGTTGCTAGGTCCAAGGAAGGTATCTTTATTTCTCAGTGGAAGTATGTGCTAAATCTTCTTACTGAGACTGGAAAACTTGGTGCTAAATCTACCTCTACCCTATTGATGTGAATCAGAAACTCTCAGCTAGTGATGGAGAATTTTTAGTTAACAGGGGAGTGTTTTAGAGATTAATGGGGAAACTTCTTTATATGAGTGTCATTAGCCAGTTCATACATGCTCCTAGAGATACACATATGGATGCTGCAGAAAGGGTGTTATGTTATCTTATTAAGGGAACCCCCTGGAAGGGTATATTGTTTGCTAAACATGGACACATGAAGGTAGAGGCATATACAGATGCATATTGGGCAGGAAATGTGGATGACAAGAGACCCACATCAGGATATTATGCTATGATAACCGGAACTATTGTTTCCTGGAGAAGCAAAAAGCAGTAAGTAGTTGCTAGATTTTCAGCTGAGGCAGAGTATAGAGCTATGGCCCATGGGGTTTTTGAGTTGTTATGGCTTAGATCTCTCCTTGATGTGATAGGTGTTTCATGTAACGAGCCACTGATATTGTATTGTGATAACCAAGCTGCTATTAACATTGCTCACAACCCAGTTCAGCATGATAGAACTAAGCACATTGAGGTAGACCGACACTTTATACGGGAGAGAGTGGCTTTAGGAGAGGTGTGCTTGCCTTTCATTGCATTAGAAGAACATCTAGCAGATATTCTAACTAAGGGAGTCCCAAAGGCAAAGCTTTAACATTATGTAAGCAAACTGGGCATGATTGACATCTATGCTCAACTTGAGGGGGAGTGTAGTGAGAATGGGCCGAATGGGCCTTAGTGTTCTTTATTTCTTTTAAGTAGTGTTTAAAGNTGGGCCTTAGTGTTCTTTATTTCTTTTAAGTAGTGTTTAAAGTTATGTTTGTTAGTTATGGGCCTTCTTTTGTTTTCTTTAATTATTTCTTTAGTATTGGCCACCCCATTAAGGGCATCCAAGTAATTGTACTAAACTTCTTTCTTCTTCTTTCTCTTTCTTTCTTCTTTTCTTGCATTATCTGAATTACTGCAGGTGTAATTTTCAACTGAGGCAAAGTTCCTTCTTCTTCCACTACCCTAAACACTCTTTGCTCCTCTAAGACCTGCTTATACCACCTTGTCCACATAGAGATCCACCAATTTTATTAACTTCCAACTTCCTAGAAGCTCACCAAAGTCATAAACATCCACATCAACATCCACCTCATCATCTCTACATCAACTTCCTGGAAGCCTTCCTCTCCATGAGCCTACTGCAACCCTTTCCACGTCCCACTTCCAGACATTCCCTTGAAGATTTAACACAAAAACTACTTCCTTGTTCTACCTTTCATGTGTGAACTTGAAACCACTCCTATTACAGGTAGAAACCAAAGATTTTCTAATCATATATCTTCTTGGGCTCCATGAACTCTTTGATCCTATGTCATATATTCGAGTTTGAGATAGAAACCATAGCTCATTATCTTGGGACCGCTCCATGGGCCCCAGCCCACTCAAGACCGTTAATGGTATAATGTTAAAAGAGGCCTTTAAACTCGCATGGTTATCTAGACTCATCAACAGTTCTAGGCCTAAAACTGGGTTTGAGTGAAGTTGCAACTCCTGACCTATCATCCTTACTCGAAAACCTGCTGACATTTCAAATTTCAAATTTTCTCTAATGCTCTGCAAGGCATTACAAAAATATTGTGTCAGTTCTTCGTTACCAGCACTAGCACAAGGGTATTTGTCCCTTATCTCCTCGGAGATGATGCATCCCCTTGAGTCTCCACCAATACCCTTGTAATCTCTGGCCTGCCATGACCTTCACAAGGAACCCAGCATTGTTTCCTGCGGTGGTTCCACCTCCTTCGCTCCAGTGTTGCCATCTGTCTGTGACCTTGAGCCCTAGAAACCAATACTTACCTATTTATCTTAATGCCATCAATGCCAAGCAGAGGCTGCCTGCTTTGAACCATCACCAAAGGGCACTTCCATCTGAGAATGAGTTTCTCCTTTATGCAGCCTCTGAGCAACCAATCTGATGTTAGAAGAACAAGACCCATCACAAACCTCCTCCTTCCAATCCATTAAACCCTCCACGACAACACAAATTAGAACAATCTTCCCATGCACCTCTAACTCTAAAAATTTAGGGAAATCCTTAAAGGATCCCCAAATCAGTAAACAGAGAGTCCACTGAATGCCAGCTTGCATTTCTCGGATCCACAAAAGCATAGCTGCCAAGACATTGCCCACTTCCTTGAACATGGCCATGCATCAAACGTTTAAGGGAACTCCAAAGAGGCATAGCCACCACATCTTGTAGCCCTCTGAATGTTGCACCTAGCCAGTCATCAGTTCCCACCTCCAATGATTCAAATGTTGGCCATTGAAAGTCCTCCTACCTTATTTGATCACCCCTGCTCCCTAATGCTCTGATCATCAAAGTTTCTACACCACACCAAGCCTACTTCACCCATCTTTGTATCTATGCAAGCCTGATATGCACCCTTCAAATCCTCCAACCAACCATTTCCAGTGTAAGCATTCCTGTTCCACTAATCCCTCCTCTTGCACTACCACTCTAATGTCCCTTATGATCATCATTACACAAGCTCTGAAATTTTTAAGCATTTTAACCTTCATATATTAAGAGGAGATCATTAGATAAAGATCTCTTGGGTTTACTTTTAGAAATTGATTCCAAGATATTGAAAAATGCTTCATTTTTTCTGCCACATGGAAGGAATCCATACACCCATCAGATCCATTGGATTGCCCATGTGTTCAATCTCAAACAAAGTTTTGAAAACCAAACTGACAGCAAGGTTTAACTGTTTGAACTGAGAACAGGAGGCATTTCAGGTTCTCAAACATGAATAACCCAACCTTTGTTTTAATTCATTGGTAAAACTGCCAATTGATTGAACCATTTAAACAATTATAATGACTGCATGGATAGAATTGTATATTTAACCCCAACTTTTATTAAAAAAACAATTGATCATAAATGTGCAGAACCCTAAAAATCTGAGAAACAAAAAAGGGAAAATGAAGGATAGTCCATATTAGAATGACCAAATCTTTTGGTTCTTTCTAATTTGAGCAAAAGATTGAGGGAGCATATCCTCTCCACATGAAGCTTGCTGATTGAAGAAATTAAGATGGTGCAAGTTCTGGTAGTGCAGTGTGTCAATGATTTTCTGAGCAGTAGGTGGAGCTATGGAAACTTGAAGGAGGGGTTGGTTTGGAAGTACAACAATGAGATTGGAGAGGGAGATAGAGGTTCTGGTTTGCTGGTGGTCACTGCTGGTGCCTATATCTTAAATGCATTCTCTTCAATTGCTAGGCCTTGTACCTTATCCATGTTATATAGTGATAACTATACACAATCCAGGAATGGGAGTGGAGGGGAAGCAATGTCCATAACCACTGTTTTTGCAGTTTTTCGTCTTTTTTTTTATCAGAAACAAGAAACAATTTCATTAATATGAACAGAATTATGCAATATTAATACAAGAGTAAGAGCATAGCAATACTATTGCTCCCCACAATGGTGTTTACAAGTTTGGTGTTGTTCATGCAAAATTATAACACTAGCTAAACACCGAGGTATTGAAATTTTCTGACAAATACCTTTATCAAACCTGCCAGACAATGCACATCAACTCCATGTGGTACGACACCCTTGTTTAGTTGGTTGCGGACATATTCCTCCTGGCTATTCTCAGCATTGATTCGGAATATTCCTTCTGCCTTCAAAAACAACATGTATGAGGGAAACACTATAATGTCTGTATAACAGTTTCAGAAGTAACTATTTATCATTTGGAGCCAAAAGACATACTTGAAGGCCTCCTCCCAAATATAGGCGCCTTTGCATCATGAGGAGAATAGTTGGCACACTGTTCCCTCTCTGATCATAGGAGCATTGCATTGACTCAGCTGAAACTCCAAATACACTTGCACTGGTCAGGAGGAAAATAATGATCAGGTCAAGCTCATTGGATATGACCAGAGAAACTAAAACTCACAATAGAAAGATCATTTCCAGAAGGGCAAGTTAAATATGAAATTAATGAGCCTAAACCACAGTACTACTTTGCAAGAATAAGGTTCAAACATTATGGCTTAAGATTACATACATCTGGACTTTTTCCTTTTTAATTGATCCACCAGAACACTTGGAATTTCCACCCCCCACCCAAAAAAAAAAAAAAAGAATACTTGGATTAAGAAACATCCTGCTCTTTTGACCAAGTCAGTTTCCATCTACTTTCAGACACTAAAAGAAGTTAATTTTAGTATTTTCGGTCATTAAGAATGTATGAGAAAAAGAAGAAAGCACACTATTCAATAAGGCTGCAACTCGGGTAGGCTCGGGTTGAGCATTTGCTAAAATTTGAATGGCTCCAGGCCCCAACGCTGTGTGAATTCTTCAAGTCAGGTACCTGAGCACCCCTTCTATTCAAACCTCACTATCATTCAGCATTCCAAAATCTGATGTGCAAAACATGTGTAAGAAGACCAGACATTTTATAATGGATACTTGTATTTACTACTCGAAGTTGTTTCCAACTGGGGCCATTAGTACCTCTCATGATACTTTGATGCAGTTGTGTTAGGGTTAGAATTCTATTAAGGTCCTCAAATGAAGAGAAGTTTCCAGCAACAGGTTGGTGTAAGATAGTCAGATAGAACAGATGACAATACAGGTTGTATATTAGCTTTAGAAAGATTGGAGGTCAAATATCCCCTCATGTGAAGCAGTCCATGTCAATGGCCACCCATTATGTAATTTGATGCTGAACAGAATGGGATTGACCAGAAACATATGGTGCACCATTAGTTATGTACACTTGTTGGTAGAAATTCAATTAATTCTAGTGCATGACGGGCATGCCTTACAAGATCCAGGACTTTGTATATATGTAACAAGATTAGACTGTAAACCACTAAGTACACATATCAAAAAGCAAAATCTCTTTATAGCACACAGAATTTACATAGAACCTTCAGTATCAACATTAGTTGCTGCAAAATACTGTCAGTGTACATCAAATCCAATTTCCACAATGTATTAGAAATAACACAGGTTTGCATCTTCATCCATAAGAAGGCAGGGAAGCATAAATTTCTAGACTTGCTGAATGGAACTAAATTGGTCATCAAACATGGTTGTCAACATCTTGCTAGGCAAAAAGACCTTTTTTTCTTTGAGAACATCCAGTGGCTCACCTTGGCATGTTTTGTGGGGGTTATATCAATTTTAGGTGTAGCATGGATTCACTGTATCATACTGTATAGATAACGGTGAAAGTAAAAACAGTTTCCAATTCAAGGAACCATAAAATGAGTTTAGTGCTATTCATCTTGTTGTGGTTCCTCATCAGGGTGGAACAGTTATTCCCCTTTAAAGCGTTCTGCCATTTTTTTCTCTACACAGATACACACCCCTCAGTATAACTGTTGCATTCAGCATAAAAGAGGCTCAGTCCCGTTATTTGGTGTTTTTCCTTTAATTCTCAGTAATTGTGTTGCATTGACAGAATATCAGGTACACCACCTTTTTTTTTCTGTCCAATAGGCTATGCAATGCTGCTTTCCTTCTACTTTCTTGATATCTGATTGTTTTATGTTAAATCGCTGTTAATGTTTGTTAGTTGCTATTTCAATTAAGAAACAAGCTAAAACATTAAAATTATACAGCGTATTTTTATCAAAATCCAGCGACAAGGTGTTCCCCTGTTGTTCAGCCTTGCCTTAGGCCTTTGATAACTATGGTTTCATAATAAAATCCAGGGACCTGCTAGAAATTGTACCGGAGAAATTATGATTATTAGCCCCCACCAAGCTATGTTAGAGAAACAAAGATCCATCTTTCTCATGAAAAGCAACATTAAATGCAAGAAAAGTTTTAGACAAGAGTCTCAAGCTAGCAACTAAAATAGGGCTGATCTGATGGATAGACATACAGGATATTAGTAGATAGATTTATTTGGCTTCAAGAAAATTGACTCTACCTGGGAGAAAAGAGAAATTACAGAGTTGGGAGATATTTTGGCAAAAACTACTGGAATGTGACGAAACAATAAACCAAAAGCATGGAATGTTTATCACCGCACTTGTAACTTTATAAGATTTTTGTAAAGAGAAGACGCAGAGTTTGAGCATAAGAAGCAAACAAATAGAGGCATAGACAGAGTACGAGAGTTAAACCTGGCACTGGGGACCCTGCAAGGGACATCGGTCTCGAACTCAACAGGCAAACCGAGAAAGCCATTGTAGCGATCGAAGGTAACGTGGGAGACATGCCTAACATTGGTAGGCCAGCTAATATCCATGGCACAAATATCCTCCCTCTCCATGCTACATGTCACCAACGACTTCTTTAACGCCGCTAGCAAAATTTCCAGAATTGGGAAATGATGACGCTCATCTCTGGCACCTCCCTCTCTCCCTGCAGGAATTATCAACGGAGTGGATATTGGATTGGCAAAGTAATAGTCACCGTCATCATCTTCCTCTCCTTCTTCGTCTTCGTTCTCAGTCAGATATAATGACGGAGTCGGAGGGGACAACTCCAACACCGATATCCGTTCAGGTCCACAAGACCTGGATCTGAAGAGCTGAACCATAGAATTACAAAACAAATAGAAAGAGTTTCAAAAGGGAAATTAGGGTCGGTGTTCCGAGCAAACGTTGAATTTAGCGAAGCAATCGAGAAGAAGAAGTAGTAGTAGAAAGCTTGGTCAAGTTGGGACTTTGGGATTGTAAATGATTGATTCGATGCGGGGATGAAGGAAATGATGAGCTTGAGAACCGAGCAAGTGGAATCGTAGGCTTGTGACCCGGTGGAGACAATAGACAACGACGACGACTCAACACAATTATGGGTTATTTTTGGGGTCCCTAGATAAATTAAAGACTTCCACCCTGTACTAGTACTATGGCCCACGGGTAGTGACATAACCCTCCCTCCAAAACTTCCATTTGCGGCACCAATCCCACGCTGTCAACTTTCTTATTCTGGCAATTTATGTTTTTACCCCTTCCGTTAACATCCGTGATTTTGCTTTTGATCGTTTTTAAAACCTTAGATTATCTAAAAATTTATGATATTTGTATTGTGAAGAAAAATACATTTAACAATGGATAAGATGATACGCCACAGCTGACACTCTTGAATTGAGTTGTTAACGTTAGTAGGAAGTACTATCTTATGAAATGCCAACATGACATCTTTGATGTTGTTGGTTGAAAATACAATAATATTAATTGAGAGAGTAAATATAGGATACTACAAAAGTTTTGTCCAATCAACATCAACACCCTTTCATAAATTTTGATAAATGCCACCTAATTAGTATGACACCGTTGATTGCTATAAGTTTTTCCCATGTCACATTGAGAAAATAAAGCAAAAGTAAAAACATTGAAAATTAAAAAAAAAACAAAAATACAGAATACAAAAATATAGAAAAAAAGAAAAAACCATATAATTTCAAATGCAAATTTTTACAATTTTACCTAAAAAGTTAAGGCGGATTTTTATCACAAATGAAAGTTGGGGCTGTGGTGGTAAGTGTCACTACCTCAACTACAGGGTGGAAATATGTAATTTACCATTTTTTTCCTTGTAAAATAGTTTGTTTGGGAAATAGGAGGACAAGATATGTTTGTAGGAGAAGGTGAGGCAGAGAGAGGATGGAAAAAAGGGCCGGAAGTGGCCCCACACCAGGAATTTACGATTTAACCGCTTATGTCGTGATGTGGACCTGGACCAGAAGACGATAGGCCCTGCATCCCTGCMCCGCACGCCAGCTATTGTTGGCCTCTTTGCTTTTGGAAACTGGAATAGAGAGAAGTTAGATTTTATGAGGGTGCCGTAGAGGTGTAAAGTGGGCCGTGGAAAAGTGTTGGCCCRCGGGCCATCACGGGCTGTGTCGTTCTCACCGGTGAAAAATTTGAGGATTGGTTTGGCATAACCCACAGCCCGGGCCCATGTAGGCCTGTGCCATGTCATGGGTCGGGCTGGTCCGTAGACCAAATCTTGGGCTAGATCAGGTCGTGTATCGGGTCAAAGTTATTTATTTAAAAAATGGATAAAAAAACTTAAAATCTTAATTTTATATGAATTTTATATATAAAATTATTTATATATGCAATAATTAAATAAATTAGTATAATAAAATTAAAAAATATATATTTATTTTATTAATATATTATATATTATATATTATTATATGATTATAATATATAATATATATGGGTCGTGTCGGGCCATGCTGGACCATGTCAGTCCATCAGCTATGGGCGGCACTGCCCGCTCGATCGTACTGTACCATGCCGATAAGTGGACTTAAAATCTCAGGCCCAACACAGCCCGCATGATTATGCCGAACCTGACATGGCCGATTTACACCTCTAGGTGCCTGCTTGGGCTGCCCACCCTTATCCACATAATATCACCTTAACACAGAAAATATTTCATCCTCTCCAATGCATGGAGATAGTGTATTGAGGGTACACGTGGATAGAATTCTGATAGACAGAAGATCCGGAGTCTGCCTGAGCCTGATTTGCCTCCTTTGCCTTTGGCCGTTCTTTTTTGTCTCCCATATGAGAGTATAATGGGGCCACATGGCCACGTGCACTGTTGACTATCTTACAGGGGTGCCAGGCAATGAGATGAGGCCCACTGAGCCAGAGTCAGGATTTATCGGCCCATCCCATTTCCCAACTTGGGATCCAAGATTCCATCCATTGCCACGTGATACCTAATATAATATCTAAATTGCTATTTATGCAGAGCTGGATGGTCCATCCACCATCAGTTACGTTACATTAAGATTTCGATCTATGGTGATTGGACGGCAGCAGTACATGGGTCCCCCAGCTGAGGTGGTCGGTGGTCCATCCATGCATGGTGGCGCTGGGACTTGTAAATTCTAATCCCCAAGTAACAACCCATGCATGATGCATCAAATCCAATGGCGAGAGCAACCCAACAACATCGATCTTGACAGTCTCTGCCGCGAATCTGGATCATCTCGTTAAACAATATCATAAGAAGAAGTATGAAGATATGAAGTATCACTTTTTCTTTTTTTGTTTAGAGAGATGGATGGCAGTGACTACTGACTACTAGCCTAGGTGGAGGAGGTCATATCTAATTGCCCTGATTTAAGTGAAGTACAATGCCTCCGTCTCCTCCTCCATTCGGAAGAATCGATGAATTCCATTAATCCTTTGATTATTTTATATTCATGTCTTTATTGGAGCTTCCGTTGAAGCCCATAAGAAAAGAAACCGCGTTACGTGCTGTCTATAAGAATCTCTATAAATTGTTTACTTGTCCTTTATATACATCTCCAATCCCAATGTCCCCCGAAATAAATGGTTAGTTAGGACATCTAACCTATTTTCTTTTTAATTAATTAATTTTGTGTACTCTACATGGACGATAGAGTTAGAGTATGGACCACCACCTCCTCCCCCAAGAGAGAGGCAAGAGAGCAGCAGCTGCATGTGACTTGTGGGTGTTTTGGTTTCACTTGTTATGTGTTTGGATAGCTAATTAACAGCAATTCCATCTCAAGTAGCTAGTACCTGAGCTGATTCGCATACAGCATATAGATAGAGGCATAGGACTAGAACTAGTCATGTAATAAATAAACAATGCATGTATTTATTATACAAGTGCTGGCTGTATCAGGTGCTGCTTTGCAATAAACATAATCCGATCAACCAGTCAAATGCATGTAGAGTAGAGATAATAATGGATCCTAACCTCCCAACAACTCTTTCCATCTAAGCTCATAGTTAGGTTTGTTTTCTGGTTTAAAAAAGCATGGCTACAAGCCCATGCAAAATTATTATATATATATATATATATATATCTTGGAATAAGTGGATCCCTAGAGTTGCTTTGAAGGCACTTATCGTTAGGTTCAACATCAATTAATCAAGAGTCAACATCACGACCACATCCACAAGACAAGTTGGTGAGTTAATTATTAATATAATAATATTCTTCTTCTTGATAATGTACATCATAGATCTTAACTAATGGAATGACCCTGTAGTCAGTACAGGTGGAATTTAAACGCAAATTGTTTGAGACCCACCATCCAAACAGCAAGTCTTGAAGCATCCAGGTTGAGTTTAAATACTGCTCGAGTTTTTTTTAAGGACCCTACTTCATCTATAAGAGTTGGACCCACATCAATGCCTGTATGCAGCTGGGTTCTTTTTTTTTTTTTTTTTAAATCAATACTACCGCAACTTGGGTGGGCTCAGGATGAGCATCTGTTAATATTTGAATGGGCCTGGCCCACTATGTAAATTCTTCAAGTCAGATTGGTTACTTGGCACACCTTATATCAACAAACCAAAATTAGATTTGATTTGTTATTGTAGGATACGAGTTAACTTTGTAACTTTAGGAAAAACAACGTTACACAACTTGAGACCAACAGGAGGACTAACATGGGTGCATAGACATGACTAACAAAAACGCAACATTTAAAAAAATATTTAGCAAATAAGAGGTTTGGTCTCTAAAGTGAGAGAAACTAGGGGGAAATTAAGACAGGAGAGAGGGATTTAAGGAAAAAAATGGTTTTTGGGTGGAAGCCAAAAGTGGGACAAGTTTTAAAGCAGTGTTTTTAAAATTGGACCAGACAATGAATTGTTGAGGGGTCTGGTTCCCGGGTCAAAAGTTCCAACCGTTCGAACTGAATGGACGGCTCGTTCCAAAAAATTTTAAAAAATAAAATAAATAAAAAATGGCCAAAAACCATTGGACTATTTGAACGATTCAATCACCCGGGTCAGCGGTTTGCTGATCAAATCAACGGTTTTTGGCCAAAATGACAGTTATGGGGTAAAATAGAACTGGTCAGGTCCCGGTTTTCTGGTCCGACCGTCTGATTGAATGAAGTATTTGTTTATATTTTGTCAAGGGAAAATGTGGCATTTCTATTTTTATTTTTTTTTATTTCGATTAAATTTATTCAAATAGACATTATGGACAAAACTGTCATTTTATATTTATGTCTAATGTAAGGTTGATTAAATAAATTGGTTGCGAACTATAAATAATTAAGTCTTATATTTAGGATATTAATTCTTATTCTTTCATTAAATATTAACAGACCATATTAAAAAAACAAATCCAACAAGGAATAATTGTATAAAATACAAATTTATAATCAACCAAAAAATGAAATTGTTTTCATGTTTGATGAGTAAACAATTTAACCTCAAATGTGTAAACCCATTGATATCATAATTAAATAATAATAATAATAATAATAATAATAATAATAATAATAATTTAAAAGATGAAAATACATAAAAATATAAAAATACAAAAAATGCAAAAAACATTTGGCCACATCTCTAATATTGTATATTCATCATATTAAACAAAAATAAGCGTGGTAAGTAATAATATTTTTTAAACATAAAAATATAAAAAATTTTGAGAACATATTATTTATCATCATCATCATCATTATCAAATATTGTCACATGCAAATCTCTTGCATACTTACTAGTTTCTTAAAAATTTTATAAAATTCAATTCACATGTGAGATTAGGTGTGTGATATCAGTATTTTTTTATATAATTGTTTTTCTATTTTTTTTATGTTTTTTTCTAACTCATGATGAATTGTTACAATTCAGCTTTCTCTTAACTTTTCCAATCTTTAAAACATGGTTTTCAAAACGGAACCGGACCAGATCATGGCCCATGCCCTTAAACATTTATCACTCACTTTAGGTGGCTGCGTGACAATATCCAAATGACAATAGAAACAATTTTTGTTGATAAAAGGTCAGCTAAATAAATCACTAGCAAACTATA